TAAAACTCATTTAAACTGATTGTTTGGCTATAAACAAAAATCTATGATGGGAGCTGGCTAGTTAGCTCAGTTGATTAGAGTGGGTGTTATAACACCAAGGTCAAGGGTTCAGATCCCCAAACCAGCCAACTGCCAAAATAAAAATAAAAATAATAAATCTATGATGAGTCATCTCCCTGAATGTGAGTAAAAAATATGACCCATTTGCTTTTTAAGTTTATTTATAAGAATAACTGTTTTGCTATAGAATTCAAGTTGAAAATCTTCCTTGCAAATACTTTGACTTGCAGCTTTTTTCCTCCTTATTCTTCTACTATAATAAGCATTTTGATAGTTTTTATTGTTATTATATTTGCACCAAGTCCCAAATTAGGAGAAAGTAAGCAGAAGGAAATTCCAGAGGAGTCAGTAAAGGAGGGCACTTTTCCAAGAGAGGAGCAGAAGGAGGAGGACTCACAACAGAATCGAGATATGAAAAATGAAGAAGAGCAGTTGACCATGACACCTGAGGAAGTTGTGAGGCTTAGAGAAGAGCTGAGCCATATAAACCAGAGCCTGCGTCAGTCTCAGAACTCTGAAGATAGTTTAGATGACAGTAGTGCCCAGGTAGGTGCTATAAACACATGCCCTGACTGGGATCTTTTCCTCTGACTATCTATGGATATAAGCATCACTTTTAATATCATCATTAGTACATATTTGTTGAGCAATATTATAAGCATGGGCTGAGCAGTAATAAAATAGCAATTAAAATCTGAAAAAAGCCCATCAGTTGATATACTTTATTATCAAGGGCTCTGTCTAGGCTCAGCAGGAAAAAGTGCTGATTGAATGTTGATGTCTGCCCTGGGCAAGTGGAATAGGGGATGGCAAGGTGTGTGCCACATTTTCTATTCCTGGTATGTAGCTTAGTGTACAGAGTATTTCATTTTAGTGAGAAGACCACAGACATGGAATTATTTTAAATACGTATTTTGCTATTTACTAAAGATCTGCCTGTAGGAGAAATAAAGGGAATGACTACCAGCCACACTTCAGTTTTTGTACCTCAAATTTACAGGTTCTTTCTTATACAAATTAAGATTATACTGCATACACCTTTCCAGAAATTATTTCAAGATCCACAGAGGGATGCCTTTGTCCTTATAAGTAAACCAACTTCAAAGCGCTGATAATATACATTTGAAAAGTGATGTAAATCCCCATACAGTTCAGCTGCAAAAAAAAAAAAGAAGAAAATTGATTCAAGTATACATTTAGAAAAAAAAAATAGAATAACAGTAAAGGCAGTCAAATATATATTTGAAAAGAGATTCAGATATAGAGTTTAAAAACTAGGCATGTCACAGTAAACCAAGAAAATATATACCTGAAAGGAGATTGAGATACACATTTGAAAGGAAGGGATATCACTGGGTTTTTTTCAGAAGGCCAAAGAGGGTGTGAGAGTATGACATCAAATATCCAAGAAGAAAGTAATCTTACAACTCACAGTCCCTTCATTGGACATTGGGCCAGTGTCGGAGGCTTGAGCAGAGGCTGAACACTGTGGTCTCAAAGACTAAAAAATCATTGCTTAGGAGCTTAAAATGATTGGTGTACTTTTAGAGTATGCAATTTAGAGTATGAGAAGTAACACCCTTAATTTACTAATTTTCTTTAATTTACCTTTCCCATTATTCAAAAAATCATTTTTCAACATCCAATAAGGAGGTGAAAAACTATGAAATATATATA